CGTGGTGTGCCAGGGCCGGGGGCTCTGGGCTGGCCAGCACTGATGGCTCTGCATCCCCGAGGCTGTGACTCAGAGTCCTCTGAAACCCTTTTGTGCTGGTTGTCATTGTTGTCATTTTATTTTAGCAGCCCTCTCATGTCATTCAGTATTTCCAGTGGCCACGTTTCATCCTGGACATAACACCAGACTAGAAGAGAAAGGAAAATCCACCTGGACCTTAAGTAGGAATGGTTTAATTCCTTTCCACTGACTTGGCTTGCTCTCGTGAAGGCATTTACCTGTTGTACATGAGTGTGAGGGGTGTCTTCAAGAAGCATCTTTAGAGTGAGGGTTTGTGACTGGATTATTGGAGGTTTACAGAGCACTTTGGAAACCTGCAGTGGAAATCCCTGGAAAGGCTGATGAGTGTGGTCCTGGTGATCCAGTGATAATGCCCATGTTCTTAGTGTGTGTTCCAGAAATGTGCCAGTGTAATCAGAGAGCATCATCTCTTTTCCCTTTTTCTTTTCATCATTAAATCAATTTATTTGTGGTGCTGGGACATAGAAGTGGTCCCTCATCTGCCTGTCCTGGTTCTTGCCTTTGGCCATGGCTAGGTGTTTGGTAGGTGGTGAAGAGGATCCATGAGGAACAGTGGCTCTGGTCCCTCGACCATGGGCAACATCCCAGTATTTCTTATCTCCTGTCTATCAAGAGAGCTTTTCCTTCTCCCCAGACAGAGGGGTTGGCAGTGCTCTGAGGTCTCTCATCAAACAGTACACGTTATTCTCAGGTCTGTTGTTAAGAAATGCTCATGTGCATTTCTCCTGCACTGATGTTCTATGGTGAAAGCATCAAGGAACTTTCCTCTTTGGGCTCCTTAGTTTGAGCAACCAACTGGCAAGAATATTTGATTTTAATGGGAACTAGGACTTCTACCTGCAAGACAAGCAGTGTTCAGGGTATATCAAAGCCAAATGTATGTTATCACTCATTGCATTTCTTCTAGCAGCCTCCCTCCCTCTTCTAAGACACTTTTCCCAAATCCTCATTATTGTAAATTTACAAGGCTGAGATTTTGTGACTTTTTCTGGTGAGCACAAAGAACATGATACTATTTACAGCAACCTTCACACGCTGAGAAACTGCTGTGTCTGGGAGGGTGCGAGTTAAAATTGGACTATTCCTCTTGTGATTATTACTGGTCAACCCAGCTCTTTGTTACCCCTTTTTAGTGTTGGCCAAATTGTAGCTGGGCTGAACGTGAGGTGGTGGAATGTAAACTCCTGCATCACCTAATTAAACACAGAGAAATAGTCATTTCTGGGGCATGATTCACCTCACTCGAAGGTAGACAACTGAAACAGCCAACGTGAATCACACTCCAGATGTGCCTCTTTCTCTTCACTGGTGATACAGGAGTCCAGATGCTGTGTGGTAGACATTTAATGTTACAGGAGGTAAGTCCCTCTCAGGGTCCGTGGCTGAGCGTGCCTGACTTGGTGCCGAGGTGCAGATTTGAATCCAAGAGATGTGAACTTTCCCGAGTGAAAAGCTCCTATCTTCAATTTGCTCAGAAAATAATATTTCATCCTGACCTTTCTCTAGTTGCTGCTGTCTGGCTGCTGCAGATGTCAGGTTCTGTCTCTGTAACCCTGCCCTGCACCCGGCAGACGGCTCCACAGATGCAGCGAGATGTCTTGCAAAATAAATTAAACTGGATCTTTTAATTTTAGGCTCTGACATTCTCTCAATGGACCCAGCACGTGCAGTGGCTGGAACTCGGATTCTGCCATCCCACTGTCCTCCTTTTCCACAGCCTGAACTGTGTCTCTTGGAAGGCCAAGGCTTGCCTGCAGGCTTCTGGCATGTGCATCCCTTCCTTGGGCTAACAATGGGCCAGCTGGAAAGGACTGGCCAAAGGGGCCTTTCTTCCATCTGCTGGCACCAGACAAGGAAGGCCAAGGACTTAGAGCCTTTCTCCTTGAGTACCAAAAAGCACCTTGCAGAGCCACCTCAGCTCCTGACCTCCACTGAGAGCATCTTCCAGGGCTCTGCTTTCCTGACTCTCTGAGTCCCTGCCAGCCCTTGCCCCTGGCTGAGCCGGGCTCCTCGGAGCTGGGATTTTGTGCCTTAGGCTCAGAAATGTGCTTTTTCAAAGCAGGCTCTGAAGCACCATCCCTCTGAAGCCGGGTCCCAGTGACGTTTCTGTGGCAGCTCATGCCCAGAACTGCCTGTGTGTGAAGTGACAGCAAAGTCTTATGTCAGCTGAAGCAGAAAAAGCAGAAGCGCGGCTTCTGCGTAAGAGCTCTGTTCCTGGCTCATCAGCACTGGAAAATGGGCTAAAATACCCCATGACATTCACAAGAGGAACGAGGATCAGGCCAACCTGATCTATTTTTTGAGGAGAACACTGATTTTTCCAGACAAAGACTCTACCTCATTTATTTAGATAAGCTAAATGCAAGATCACAGTGAGCCACTGGTGGGAGGTAGCTCTGGGAAAAGGAAGGAGATGTTATGTATTACTGCAGGATTTCTGTGACACGGTAATAAATACTTCACACTGTATCACAAATCTCTGGTAAGGTCTCTTTGGGAATAGCATTTGCTGTTCTGGTCATCTGTGTTCAAGAAAGATGCAGGTAAAATATCCAGCTGCTGAAAAGGGCTGGTGAAATGCTCAGGGGAAGGAAGAGCTGTCTGCTGAGATGAGGCTGAAAGAGCAGAGCTTGGTCAGCCCAGGAAAGCACAGGCTGGACGGTGGCCATAAATACAGCAAGGGGAAACACTGGTGAAGGAGAAGAGCTCAGTCCTGGCCACAGAAAGGATGACTGTTACCTGGTCTTGAGTATATTGAGGGGGTATCCTTCAGCTGTGAAGTCTCCATTCCTTCCAGATCTGTCTTGGGGTTCTTTGTGGGTTAAACTGATTGCATCTGACTTCAGCTGGCACTGGTTTGGATGGGATCCTCTGGCACCCAGCTCCTTGCAGCTCTGTTTGGGAAGCCCAGACATGAGATAACCCCACCGTAGATGCCATCTGCGATAAGTTCAGCGCATCGATTAGGTCCCTTGCTTGACTCTTCAATGAGAGGTGGTTGTTAATCCATGCCTCTGTTCTCTGCCTGCTATTTGGTGATCTTGTGAGGCAAGAAGTAGTCCCTGATATGATCCATGAAGAAGCCATGTTTCTTTTACAGCTCATTTTGAATCAGAAAGGATGATTTGCCAGAATGGAAATAGGAAGAACATTGTTTGACTTTATCTGCTGCAGGAACAAGAGCAGTCCGTTGACTAGATACTTGACTAGATAGTTGGCTTTGAGGATGAAAAGCATTAAGTGTCAAGTTAGGCTCTCTTAGATCTTTCTGCTTTAAGTACAACTGACTCTTCTAATTGAAGAGCTGAAACTGCAGCTGTAATTGTCACAAACCTGAGAAGCTTGAGTTCTTAAAGGAAACCCAGTTCAAGGGAAACAGTAAATCAGGTCCTTTAATCTGTTGACTGAATTGCCTGTAGGGACTTGAATGTTCTTAGGTGTTTATGCTCCAAACCCTGCAGCAGTGCTAGAAGGTTTCCTGCAAGTTCTTACTGTGCAGGTAGCTATTAGCAGGCACTTCAGTAAGCCAAGCTTATAAAAGAGCTGTTAAGAGCTCTCTAACCATTCCCATTGCTTTTACACTTGCACAACCGCTGCGACGGGTTATTGTCTTTATGCTTTGTATTGCTTGCCTAAATTGAATGGATATCTGTGGCTGTTAAAGCCTTGCCATGTGGAAGGTCTGTAATGGTTGCAGTGCTGAGCTCGTTCTTTGTGAGCTGGAATTTGGATTTGGAGGCGAGCCCAAGCACATATTCAGCGAGTCTCAGCAGAATTAATGAACAAGGTTCAGGATGGCTCTGACAAGCTCATAAGCATATGGGTAAAGTCTCTATTTGCTCGGGCAGCCTCACTGTCGAGTGCAGAATTCCTGTGGATGAATCACAAATACAGTTTGTTATTCTGTTAAAAACTATCTGCCTGTCATTGCGAGCAGCCCAGCATGGGCAGATGCTTTGTCTCGGGGATGCACAAGCACCAGTGTTTGGATGGGTCCTTCCTGCAAGCGTTTGTAAGAGTTTGATGTGTAGAAAACTGGTGGCCGACAATGAAATGAGGACTGGTGAGGTCCCTGCCACGGTGCTGGCGCAGCTCTAAGGTGACTGTGTGCTCCACGTGGGGAGAGGTTCAGGAGGTCTTGTCAGACCCAGGTCTGGCCTCAGTCATTTCTAGTGGGCAGGAATCTGCCCCTGGAAGGCCGCCAGGACAGCCTGTGCTGGTGGGTTTCGTGTGGGCAGAGTGAGGTTTGAGTGTGCCACAGAGCTGGGCTGTGCTCCATGTCAGGTCTGGAACAGGTCAGCAGCTGCCACGGGGCCTTTTGTACCTGCTGGGTAGCTCAGAGGTCTCAGAAGCAGGGGATGTCAGTACATCACGTCACCAGCACGGAATGAATATGCAACTTCCAGTTTTAAAGAAAAATGTTCTAAATATGTTGGCAAACTTTGCTTGGATTTGCATGGAAACCCTTCTGAGCCTCGAGCTGAGATTCGAACCTTTAGCTGAACAACTTGTTCTGGAACAGAGATTCCTCAGCTTGTTTGGGAACTCCCAGCTATCCATTACACTAACCAAACTGCATCCTAAAGCTGTGTACCCTGGGAGATGTGCATGCTCATGATGACATGGTGGTGGCATTAAGAGGGGGGTGCTGCTGTTCCCATGCATGGGGCTGGGGCCTGAGAGGTCCTGAGCATCCACCTGCAGTGCTCACTTGTGTGGCACGGTTAAGAGCAGAACGTTGGCGTGTGGAAACAGTCACAGCCTGGATCCCATCACACGAGGGTGACATGGTTCTGGATTGGAATGGAGGAATATTGTTTTCCTTTGGCTGGGTGCTTTTTGTGTGCTGCTGCTGTGCATGTGCTTGCTTTGGGGAACCGAGCTCTTACTGACTGCTGGTTTTCTGTTTCCCAAGCTGATCAGTGGTGGTTCTATTGTAAGTGCTGAGGCAGTATGGGATCACGTCACCATGGCCAACCGGGAGTTGGCGTTTAAAGCAGGAGACGTTATCAAGGTCCTGGATGCTTCCAACAAGGACTGGTGGTGGGGTCAGATCGATGATGAAGAAGGATGGTTTCCTGCCAGCTTCGTGAGGGTGAGTGACTTTCTTCTTTTTACCACTACAATGAATCACTGCTGAGGCTGCTCAGAACTGTCAGTGAACTGAACTGGTTCCTGTGCTTGTTATCACTGGTGCTTGTTCCCAGAGTGTCTGTCTTCTGTCAAAAACTGGGGAGTAAAGAAGGTTTCAAAAGAAACGGGAGTGGGGGAGAATGGGATGGGGTAGGTATTAGTGCAGCTTTGTATGCTTTTGGAATATGGAGTGGCCTTTGCTATGTGTCTGTTGTAGCCTCTCTCCTTCAGCAGTTGTTTGGGAAGACAGTTAAATGTTATGTGGATTATGAGTAGATGATTTGGTGGGGCCTAAAAGTTCACATCAGCTCCCAGTGACACCCGCATTTGGAAAAGCTTTAGCACAGGGAGGTGTGAGCCCTCCCCTTGCCAAAAGCAGTGCTGCTTTCTGACTCTTGAGCAGTGCTGCTTTCTGACACCTGAGCACTTGGGGGTGTAAAGTCACTTCACTGATGAGTCCCTGACCAGCTCTGGTTATTTTTTAAGGAGACAAGGCCCCATTTTGCTGGTCTGTGTCTCTCTGCTGAAGCGGGTTTTGCTGTGCCCAGCCACCTCCAGTGCTCATCACAAATCAGAAGGGTTTGAGCACTTGACTTTCTTTGCTCAGTGTGTGTTAAAAAAGCCAAGGGACAAGAAGATGCCCTTTTTGCTGTCATCAGCTCCTGACACGTCATTTGGGCAGTCGTGAGCCTTCATCAGGGGGTCAAGACATTGGCTTTGACCATGTCTATTTCCTTCTCCTTTCCCTTCTGCACAGGGTTTGATAGGCGGGATCAGAGGTTTAATTCCTTCAGAAGCTATGGGGTTGTGGTTCCAAAAATGACAATTTCTTTTGCCTTGTGAAACTGTGAAAGATGACTCTTTCCTCTGAGCCTCCCAGGCAGTTTGACAGGCTTCACAGTGTGAAGGGGAAGGCTGTTGTCTCTGAAACACACTGAAGACCATGCTGCATCCCAAGGAGATGCTGTGTTTGCTCTGGGTCTCTGCCTGTCACCCTCCCTCTGTTGGGCAACCCTGTGTCATCAGCATCCCTGTTCCATTACATCATTTCAGCTGGGAAATAGCCATATGGATTAGGAAAATTGGGTGTAAAATGCATTCCCCATGGTATCATGATGCAGCTCTTGTGTCTCTCCTAGGTCTGGCCAGTGCTAAGAGTGATTGATCAGTGACTGGAACTGGAGCCTGGGCTGTCTGTATGAAATAGCTGTGTGGTTATTCTGGCCCAGAATAACAAAGTGTGTTTGGTGTTTAGGTGAATAGGACACTCTGAGCCTGACCCTGCAGCCAGTGGACGCAGCAAGTTTGGAAATGGATTTGTATCAGGTGTGATGCAGATGATAATCTCATTGCAGGAAATACTCTCCCCGGTGTCTCTAGCACATCTCCTCTGTGCTGCTGGCTGCAGAGGCAGAGCTGGAAAAGTCTGTCTCATTATTTTTGCTTCGTTTAGAGACCAAAATATTCTGGGCCAGTTCAACTTCCCAGTGCATTGACCAGTGCTGCTTTGTTTGTGATTCTGGGAAAAAGATGTGTGATGTAAACACACTGTTCATGGTAGGTGGTAACAGCCTTGTTTTGCACTGTCCTGTTTGCTAAACCCCACAACAACCAACCAACCTACCAAGCCCGTTTACTCTCAGGCCCCACACCATTCAGCTTGGCTGAACTTCCCATCTCCCCCTACGCCTTTCAAAAGCTGGGAGGATGGTTTTAGAAACTGGGGAAAATGAAGCAGAGGGATGAATGAATCTCAGACTGTTGTACACAAACATCTCAACAACATCCTGGAGCAAACCTTGGTGCTTAGGAGCATGACAGCCTTACCAGGCAAGTTTCTTGGCCATTGTGTCTAATGCCACAAGCCTGTGGCTTGGCTTTACTCCAGCAAAACTAGTCCTTCCATCAGCTCTGCAGGAGACCAGCTTGGTTATTCCATCTGAGAGACACCTGCCCTGGGACCAACTGATGCACTCCCAAAGGTGGAACCACATGGTTTTGCTGCCAGGAATGGTAATACCTAACACTCAGCCCCAGGCATTCCAGATAACATGCAAGAGGAGTGCTGGCACTGTTTATCCACTGCTCTGCAAGGGAGGCTGAAGGGCACAGTTTGCCACTTGGGTTTACACAGCAGAGCTGCCTTCTCCCCGCAGCACTTGTGTGCTGCAGCCCACTCGCTGGTTGTCCTGTGCTGAGCAGACAGCTGCCATTTGGGCTCGTGTTCTCCTGCTCTCGCTGGCTGAGGTCGCTCGCTTGCCTCTTCGCTTTATTCCTGCGTATCCCCCCTCACTCTCCCTGTCTCTTTCAGGAGCTTATTTGAACCAGACCCCTGCAGAGCCTTTAGGGAAGGTGCCTGTGACCCCTCTTTTACTTGCAGGACCATTGCTGCAGGTTTATGCTCTTTCAAGGTCCCATTGAAGACCTTTTAACCTAAACCCTTTCCCTTTACTCTTCTCTCCATTTCCTCCCTGGTATTTCTTCTGCAGCTGATCACTCTTTCGTAATGAGGAGGCTGGTTTGTTCTCTGTTGTACTTTGAGCCCTGCTTTTTTAAGATGATGCCAGAAAACTGCCTGATTTAGCCTGGGTGGTTCTAGTTTTACTTGCAAAAGAATTGCTTTCCTTTATATCTCTATTTCTCTTATGCAAGTACAGGAGGGAAAGGGAACAACAATTTGCATAGCAGAGAATGAAAAGCAGTTCAAGTGAGGGATGACAGGACAGACCAGGCAGGTCTAAAACTAAACAGGATTCATTTCAGGCTATTTTAGACTCTAGGTCGTGTGTAGGTCCTAACAGGGGGTGCAGCAGCAGATCACTGCAAAGTCAGGTTCTTCTAAAAGTCATTTGGATCACTTCTGAGGACAAACCTGGGCTGGAAACCTACTTTGCACTGAGACGTCTGACGCTTCTTGCTCTCCAGCCAGATCATATGAAAATGTTTGGCAAAGCATTTGGCACTCACAAAATCTCATAGCAGGAAAAATTCACATTTGCAAGTGCAGAGGAAAACTGGAACCTGCTGATTCCCTTGGCCTCCTTTACACACATAGTTGGGAGGGCTGCAAACAAAACCCATGCTTGAGTTGCTTGCACGTACAGGAGCTGTTGTCTTCACGCATAACACCTGCGGTTATCCTCTTAGTAGCTTGAGACTTGCCTAGAAGAACAGGGAGAGGGGAAAGCCATAGAGGTTTGGGAGCACAGGGACTTTCACTGGATGATAAAGTGATGCTTTTGGGGGAAGAGAAAAGGCACAACTTAGGAGAAGTAGAGTTAGGAGCTAGTAAGCAACGGGGAATGGTTTTCTGCAGGAAGCTGCTGCACTCAGGGAGAAAGTTACAAGAAGCCTTAGGTCATTAGAGAGGTGGATGAGAACCCAGAACTAGATTTAAGTGTGAATGATGGGCTGGGTTTAGGACAGATGAAGGTATCTGTGTTGTATTTTAGCATGTTACCAAGTGAGCAGGTTGGGCAGCCACAGGGTGCAACCATCAGCCTTGTGCTACACTCTGAATATCCTGTCAACTTCTAGGGGTCTGAGAGGGTGGGGGTGCAATTAGGGGAAAACCAGCAG